TAAAACTTAAACCCCTGAAGACTGGAAATCTGATCAAGAAACATCGATGTCGGGATGAAATTGATATTTAAAAGTTAAGTAATCTTTTCATATAATGTTATTAGATCAAAATTCAATAGTCAATAGTCATGCCAGTATCAGGGATAAAATTTTGAATTTGGGTAGAGAAGAAACTGACTTTTAGAACATCATAGACGACCAATTCTCTGAATATATGTAAGTCACAGTTAATTTTTTAATTAAGACATTAATGAGTTTGTTGTTTTTCTTTCTTTAAGCCTATACTAAGCTAAGGTCGTCTATAAATGATTACCAGATGTTTTGGGTTAATGTTATCGGAATACGATTTCAAGAAACACGGACACATGCAGTAAACCTTACCCGTCTGAGTTTCTCGACGCTGAAATGGTTAAACTTGGCCGCTTCCCGAAATGCTGTGACATGACATTAAGGTCATCTCTGTAAATGGCCTGAGGGGTAGAGAAACTGGTGTCCGGATTGGGCATATTCGGGTTGTCATAGAAACCACTTGCGTAACCATGGTAGCCCATGGCATCACGGGAATATAGGCCCTGGTTTTCATGATAGGCTGTCTGATACAATTGCTGCTTGTGATCTAGATCAGTGTAAGCCGTATTTGACTGTGACGGGTAGAGCGGCTGACTTTGGGCCAGCGAGTGTTGTTTGGGGAACAGTTTCTGACTGTTATGGTATGACTGGGCATAGAAGCCGATCTCGTCTGCCGTGTAACCGTGGTACATGTCTTCGTACTGCAGACTAGATTCACCATATTTTTCTTCGGCGGGCACTGTGTTGCACTGATCATGAAACAGTGGATACGGTTGCTTGAGATTGCCGGCAGCATCTTTGTCAAACGTCGCGTAGCTACCCTCGTAACAATATGTCGATTCCGGGTAAACTGGGTGGCTCCCCTGTTGGTGGTATACGGCGTTTGCTGTAGCCGACGGACAGATCTGATTTGCCACACTGCTAGTAGCGGGTCCACTGTCGTAAGCCGTTGGAGGTGGTGGATACGATTCACTCGAGAGGTCATCGCTGGAATAAGGCGTGTCTGTGTGCAGGTCCTGCAGCGACGATGAAAAACTTGGGTAGAGACTGATATCGGCAGATATGGTACTAGCAGTAGTGACGTTCATATTACCAAAGGACCCGCTAGAGAACGGGTCCAGTGACGCCGGGGAACCAGTATTTAACGTCGTCTAGAAAAGAAAAAAAAGAGATTTCAGTTATTCGTCAGTTTGAGAAAATTGAATAACATTATTATGAATTAGGAATGATCTTGAACAGAAAATCGACACTCTCTGCAAATTCTCCCAAGAAGTAAGATTTATTATAAACCTTTCTAAAACAGAAACTTTTATGTGGAATTGGAATGGAAGTGTTGATGCTATATAAATTTATTCGATCATAGACATTCAAGGTGTGCAATTAACAAATACTAAAGACTTCAAATTATTGGTGTATGGATCCCTTATAACCAATTTATTATAGAAGATAAAGAAATGGATCATAGAATAAACTGCGTTAGGGATAGTTTCACACAATACCACAAGATGCTACCAAGTCAAAATATTAACCTAATGAGGCACGGTAGACTAATAGATAGTGGAGAGCCGAATTCGAATTCCCGTCGAATCCATTACATTCATTTACGTGCTAATACCATTGGGAAATGTATGAATCCTCTCAGCTATGGGTACATAGCAGGACAAACCGGGTTCTGTAGCCTTGGATAGTAACTGGTCTACTGCAGAAAGAAATGGCAATCTACTGCGGAGAAAAAATCTGCCTCGTCAGTAATGTATCGAAAGATACATGATCACCTAAGCGTGTATCAGGCATGGCACATAACTAACTGAAATTCACTTATGCGCTAATACTCTTGGGAAAGGCATGAATCCTCGCCCCCCACCCCAGCTTGGGTAAATAACAGGACAGACCGGGTTCTGTAGCCTTGGATAGCAATTGGTCTATCGCAGAAAGAAATGGCAATCTACTGCGGGGAAACTCTGCCTAATCAGTCATGTATCGAAAGATACATGATCGCCTAATCGTGTATCACACATGGCATAACTGACTGAAGAACACCAATTGTGCTCTTAAATAGCATAGAAGATCGAGATTTTCATATGATTGTCAGGAAGATCAAAACTCGTTCAGTGATGTCTAAACAGTATACAACCGTTTTCTCAGATCAATGATTACAAATTCCTTCGAGCGAATTAACCGTTAAAGTCTTAGAGTGAACCATTTTTCTTCGGACTTTGTGGAAGGGAATCAGATGGTTCGATACAAAGTGCATAGCATGGTGGTCCTTAGCCGTGAAACTGACTGGTGGAACTAAAGAATGAATTTCGTTTGAACACATTCCATAGAAATAACGATAGATCAGCAAATGACTTTCAACGTCTCGTCTGTGAGAAAGGGTTTCTAGAGTGGAAAATACTCCAGGAAATGACTAAATCTTATTAAGCAGTAAGCTTATAATTTGCTAGAATGGTTGCTGGCTGTTAAATCATATTATCTGAGTCCCCTTTGAAATGAAATTGGCGAAAATTCGACGACAGCGTTGATTAGCCGTTTCAAAGGGGATTCAGATAATATCTGATGATTTAACAACCAGCCACCACTCGACATCAGTCTAACTACGTTAACGGTTCTCTCTTTCGAACATTGTTTTATTTCCAGTCAAACCCTGTTTTGTCAAAGGATTCTACTGATTTTAATTCAAATACCGACTCTTGTCGAATTAAGTGCATATAATCTTACTCATCAAAATCGGTCAATATCTTTCATTTTTACATTTGCTAGATTTGCAGTTAGATTCGAATCGTGAATGAATACTGATGATATTGTTCGTAAAAGTTTAACTCCTCGATGGACGATTTCCAACGAAACATCATTTAAAGATGGCCGTCGTTTGAGAGCTAAGGGAGATAATAAAATGATTTTTTTTTATTTTAAATTAAATGATCTAAACATTTGAATTAAGAAACAAATTTCACACATTTTCTGTGATAATTCTTCGTCTCTTTTGAGCTTTTTTATTTTTCCTTCTATTGCCATTTGAATGCTTGTCATGTTTATCAGCAGACACCAATGTGCTTTGCGATTCACACAAAACGACAGTCTTTTCCGTTACTCTATTTTTGCTCATGGTTTTTTTTTTCTTATTTTGCTTTGTTTTACTATATTTTATTTATTTTATATTTTTTAAACTGACTGGGGTAATAGTTTAGAATTTCGGTTTCGTGATGAACAGTGAGGAAAAAGAAAGTAGGCTAGGTTTTTTTTTTCTTTGGCAAGACAAAAAAATTTATTATGTTTTCTATGGCTATTTTTTTAGGATTCGGTAACTTAAAATTATAGACGCGAGCATTTTGTAGCTACTAACAAAAAAGCCCTATCTATCTATCTATCTATCTATCTATCTATCTATCTATCTATCATAGCCAGTTCATATCTATCTATCTATCAGTAATAATCTATCATAGCCTGTTCATATCTATCTATCTATCTATCTATCATAGCTTGTTCATATCTATCTATCTATCTATCTATCTATCTATCTATCTATCTATCTATCTATCTATCCCAAGCTGTTATCTATCTATCTATCTATCTATCTATCTATCTATCTATCTATCTATCTATCTATCTATCTATCTATCTATCTATCTCAGTCTGTTCATATCTATCATGTAATAAATACTTGACATAAACGTGGATTCACCTATTAAGGACAAGGAAATATGATTTTTGTGACCCTCACTCTTCCTCTCTGTCTCTCCCTACTCCACCTCTCTCTCTTTCTATATATATATATATATATATATATATATATATATATATATATATATGCGTGTGCATGTGTGTGATGGAGTTAAAGTATTATACATGCGTATCCGTTAATTTCTTTGGGCTTCGTCTCTCCTTGAATCTGAAACGTCATGAATTATACTAACGTTACTTAACAAGTAAAATGTACGTGAAACCTGATTGACCAATGAAAATCAAACAACCCCAAAGTAAAAATATCAGAATTTCTTCCTGCATGTTCTCCATATTTCATTCTCTGATGAAGCTTTAATAACAGTGAAACATGTGAGATTGATATACGTTTTCCTATTTGTACTTTATCCTATCATTCTGTCGAAATCCGATCGATATTTGAACTGTATTTGATCCCAATTCACACACACACACACACACACACACACACACACATATATATATATATATATATATATATATATATATTGACATCTAGTGTTGGTCAAACAGTCTCTTTTAAGTTGTTATTTAAGATAAGAGCTGGATGGATTCATGCTGCTCTGAATTCCTTTGGTCATTTTGACAGTTTTATTGGTTCCTGGAAAGGGGATGTGTATCTGTTAAGTGTGTGTGTGTTATTTGGTACTTAGGGAGTGAGTGAGTATGATGTGTGTAAGCGTGTATATTACTATGGGTGTGTGTTATCATTTGGCTCATTAGGGAGTCAGTGAGTATGATGTGTGTAAATGTGTATATTCGTGTGGGTGTGTGTATAAGTGTGAGGCCTCAACACCTCCATAAAAAGCTATCTGTCTTGTGTGGGTGAGAAATGTGGGTAGGTCTGATTTGTGGGGTTATATATTAATACTATCTGCATTGTTAAATTTGTGGTTAAGCCCAGCTGGATAGTGCGTTTTTAAACGTTGCATCCACTTATTTTCATGGAACTCTAAAATCTTACTAATGTTATCTCCTCTGAACTTTTCTATTCTCTCAATTATAGGAATATATATATATATATATATATATATATATATATATATATATTAAGACATTTTTATGTTTATACATTCTTTTTAATTTTCTTTTTGTTGGTCTTTGTCCATTTCATAATGTGTGACGTCATTTGTTTACATTTGATACACCATGAGCAGATATGAATGTACGTGAGAGATTCATAGAAAATTGAAGTTCAAATACAGTAAATGCGACCATGCTAACCGAACGCTCCTCTGTGGCCAAATCGGTAAAGACACGTCAAGCTAAATGACGGTTCTGTATAGGATACAGGTTCGAATCCTGTCGGAGGACGAATATTTTCTGTGAAAATTTCTCAGACACTCAGGTAAATACTGTTTATTATAAAACAGAAAATTTGCTTAAATATTTGTATCTATAAAAAGAATGTATAAACATAAAAATGTCTTAAAATAATTGTCGGACTTAAAATAATTGTCCATTTCATAGTTGTATCATATATATATATATATATATATATATATGAAGATTAAGAGAAACTAATAAAATACTGCTGAAGTACGAACAGCCACCCTTTCTTTATTTCGTCTCACCAGAATTTCTACTGAATGACGGTATGTCAGTAATTATTTTTTACATTTCAAGTCGGTCATCCCTTTTCTTGATGCCATTCAGACGACAGTTTTTCGGAATTCCGACGGGCTGCTTGTAGAGGTGGGGGATTCCTTTTCTTCTTAACTTGGTTCAGTCTCTTCTTTTCGCCTCGCACGTGCCGCATTTCAAATCTTCTTCCTTTCTTGCCCGTAGCGACCTTCATTAGTATCAGAGAAGAAACACCCTTTTTTTTTTTCCTTTTTTTTTGTTAATTTCTTTTTCACTTTTTTTTTTGCTTACGTCACGCTGACGTTCCCCAATGTAATATGAACGTGATGTCATATCCATTTTCGTCTTTTCGCGGTATTTTCACTTCCCAAGTATTCCGCTGAATATGATCGAACTATCGATTCAGTTTTCTGCAGTATATCTGTCACTAAACACCCAAATCTGGATTAAATCAGGTATGTTCCCAACCTTATTTTACTCGCGACCTTCATGGATTTTTCTTAAATGACACCTGACGAAACTGTGTTACGAAATCTTGAATCGAAACCATTTCTTAATTTGCATATTCTGTAAACGGTTATCTTTTTATTTGTTGTCTGGATATCTGAGATAGAAACTTCGGTAAATTTGAAGATTAAGTCCCGGAAACCAATCGTAATGAAAATTTTATTCTGGTGTGAAATTGCCAGATTTCTTCCAAAATAACAATAAAAGTTTGCGGAAGAAAATAGTTTAGGAGTTATCGACAATATAATTCCCGCCTTTTTCGCGTTTAGTCCGGCCGCCATTGTTAGCGTTATTTACATACGTCTGACCCGTTTGCACGGAAGCTTACTTCGTTAACGGTCATTTACTAGTGTTCTTATCTTCTTACTCGTCTTGATAACTGCGCAGTTCGCGAAATTTGATTTAATTTGATAAGACAGACGACCGATATCATCGTCTGCCGAAATAGACTAATCCCCATATGAGGTGATTCTCTATTTTATTATTTATCAATTACTTGTTCTGTAATAAAAAATACATTGCGCTCTTTTTGCATATAAGTTTTAATATTTTACATTACGAGGATCTATTTGAATTATATACCAATAAATTTTGTCACCTTTACTATATATATATATATATATATATATATATATATATATATATATATATATATATATAAGAAAATATAATTTTAAAAATGCTATATTTATGGGATAAAGTGCTCAATATCAGAGATAGAGCGTATGTAAATATAAATATAAAAGTGAATATTGAAGTCAACACCCAGAGGCGACAGGCTGTTTCATGATAGACACAATTGTCAGGCGGCCTGACGATTGCGTCTAGCATGAAACAACCTGTCGCCTCTGAGTGTTGAATTAATGTTCACTTTCATTATATATATATATATATATATATATATATATATATATACGTTTAAAACTATTCAATAAAAGAAATTAAAGAAATAATTACAATATGTTTGAAAAAATGAAAATCGAACAGTGTGTAGGGTTGGTGGGCTTCGTTATCGAGCAAAATGAACTGCCTGTCTTCTAACAACATCTGTTCCACGCGGTCAAATAGTCAGATGAGCGTCTCTAAGTGGAGCAGGGGTGGCAATCTGTCAATCGGCCACGTCTCCGGTGATCATCAAGCACCAACACAGCGCCTATCTCATCACTGTTGAACAATGCAGTCGGCTGCCTCTCGACGCTATACGACACTGGCCGGACAGCGCAGGCGTCTGCGCCCGGGAATCCCCTGCCCACTTCCGCTTTTAAAGCAACCAATATTAGCCACCTCTTCGTTCTTCACCGCATTGATAAATAATAATAATAATAATAATAATAATAATAATAATAGTGTAATGAAAACAGAAAAGCAAACATATGTACGAAGACGTTCTTCTACGTGTCCAGACGGCAGGGTGTTACTTGTGAAGCGTGGGGGATTTATTCGACTGGAACTGTGAAGCCGGGTGCATAAAAATTACGAAATCTTCGCCGCGACCGTGCTTCCGGCCCGAACAAAATTAATGAGGCTAGCAAAAGCTGTCTGTCCTTTGCATGGGGGGGGGACTCCAACCGCAGACCGCAGCCATATGATTCTCAGTTCCTTCTTCTTGTTTTCTTTCTACGTTTATTTCTGTATATTTACTTTGATTCAATTATTTGTTATTTATTGAAAAAAAAACAACAAAAAACAAAAAAAAAATTCAAGAAAGAAAAGAAATCAGTTAGAAACGCTTATCCAAACTTTGTCTGGATAAGTGCTTCGTGTCGCTATAAAAGATTTATTTCCTAATGTGATAGCGCCTTCCAGAAACTACATAAAGTATTAAAAACCGGGAAAATTTCGTTAGTAACAATGTAATATCATTCCCCCTATATGACAGCGGATGCTGGACAATCTCCTCAAAGATGAAGAAGAGACTTGAAGCAAAAGAAACAAAGAAAAGAGTACTGAACTGTTACGCAATGTCAGTCCTCCTATATGGCAGTGAGGACTGGAAAATCTCCTCACAGATGAAGAAGAGACTTGAAGCAACAGAAACAAAGAAAAGTGTCTGAAGCAACAGAAACAAAGAAAAGAGTACTGAAGAGTTATGTAATATCAGTCCTCCTTTATGGCCGTGAATGCTGGTCAATCACCTCAGAGATGAAGACGAGACTTGAAGCAACAGAAACAAAGAAAAGAGTACTGAACTGTTACGTAATATCAGTCTTTATATATGGCAGGGAATGCTGGACAATCTTCTCACAGATGAAGAATAGACCTGAACCAACAGAAACAAAGATAAGAGTACTGAACTGTTACGTAATATCAGGCCTCCTCTATGAGAGTGAGTGCTGGACAATCTCTTCACAGATGGATAAGTTACTTGAGGTAACAGAGATGATGCTGAAAATACCATCTACAGTGCACGTGAACAAAATAGACAATTCAAGATACGAGCTACAAATTGGATTAATCGAAATCAAGCTATATAGAATTTTAACTGTCTAGGAAGAGATGATGGAAAACATAAGAGAGTTCCCGAGGTGCATAGGAACAGCAAAAGGTGCCTTCCGAAATTTAAAAAAGGTATTAAGAAACAAGAAAATTTTTCTTACAAAATTTTCTTATTTCAAAAACTAAGGGTACAAATCTCCTACGGAATATCACTCTTCTTATATGGCAATAAATGTCGGACATTTAAAAATGGGGGAAACGACTGACCCGAGGCAAATCTGTATTACGATTCTGATTGGTTAATAATTGAATGGCTGAAGAGAGATCTCTCCTGAATAAGTTATTATTACAAATACTAAACTTATAGAGTTCAATTTTTTGTGAACAATGACAGGGGTAGACTACCCCATGGTCATCTTTCCTTATTCGGGCCACATGTTTATATGATTCTGTAACGCGCTAGTTTGTTCCCTTGATTAGTAAATACATCACATTTTAAGCCCTTGTCTGATATACAGAGTTTATAAAAGATTTAAGACAGCAGAGATGCCATTCTAAAGACGAATATATATATATATATATATATATATATATATATATATATATATATATATATATATATATATATTAAGGCACTTTTCATCGGATAATTTAGACAGGTTTTGTCTTATTTTCAATAGGATCCGTTCATATGCCCGGATGAGCTTTTGTGGCTTTATTAAAAGAAGAGAGAAAATTACCGTGTTGATACATAGTTTTATTCCGAGTACTTTCGACATTAACACAATGTCATCCTTAGGGTGTGTCTTTAAGACAAAAATGTAGTGTTCGTTATTTCCAAAGACAAAAGTTATAATTTTGCGTGTGGAGTGAGGACCGCTAATTTTTGTGCCATGCGATGTATGTTTAAGTTCTAGAGAAGGTAACTAATTATGATGTGTGAAGAGTTCTTTTTGAAAAAAAAGAAAAGAAAATACTATGGGAAATTATCAATATCGATCTTGATATTTTAGTCTACGTATTGTAAACATTTTAGAACATTTGGGCGGTATGAAAGGATAAAAAAACAAAGACATCATAATCTAACATGTTTCACTTTATTAAAGCTTCAACAGATATCTTGTTGTGTTTGGCTATTCTTATTGGTTACACATTTTAGCATTCAAAATGTTCTTTTTTTTCATTTATTAGAATATAATCTCTGACTTCCTTACACATGACACGAATTCAATCAAAATATCCTACGGCATCTTAGTAACTTTTACACCCTTTAGCGTCGAGAATGTTTGTCCTACACATATTTAAATATTATCTGTTACTTCCTTACACGTGACATGTATGCAATCAAAATATACTAGTGCATCTTACTAACTTTTACACACTTTAACATCGAGAATATTTGAATATGATTACTTCCTTACACGTGACAATTATTTAACCAATAAGAACGAGTTAAACACGACATAATATTGATCTGTGTCTCTTTGCATTTTATCATTTCTATCTTTATTTATTATCGTTGTGTGTCTTTGTGTGAGTATATATATATATATAGTTATGTTTTGGCTATTTCTTATATATACATACATACATACATACATACATATATATATATATATATATATATATATATATATATATATATATATATATATATATATATATATAAGAAATAGTCAAACATAGCCTACCATTAATCTGCATCTCTTAGCGTTTTATCATTTCTATCTTGATTGATTATCGGTGTGTGTCTTTGTGTGTATATATATATATATATATATATATATATATATATATATATTTCAAAAATTATAACATAAGTATGTTATAACATCATTACAAAAACACCCATTTTGTTTCAAAACTTCTGGTGTCTTATCAAGTGTTTGGCTTTGATTTTTCATTAAATCATATCTCATGCGTGTTTTGTATATATCTTCGTTGATTTTGATGTATTTTTTAAATGTTAAGTTCGATTCATGAATAATGGATCCATAGACAAATGAAGTATTGTAGTTTTTTAAACGTTTGTTAATCACAAAAAAAAACCAAAAAACAAACTATATTTCTATGTTCATTTTAATAAGGCTGGCATTGATGGAATTAAACTTATGTCCCACGTCGTTGCGGTGTAAGACGAGAGCATTTGAATGTATATTGGGAAGCCGAGTTCCAATTCCGGTCGTGTTCGTTGCATTTATCTCCATGTAAATACCCTTTAGAAAGGCATGAATCCACCGCTTCTTCCCACAACTATGAGTTAATTAGTAGGACTTGTATCACTAAACTATTATTATCTCTAAAAAAAAAAAAGAAGAAATTATTACAATGTAAAAATATTTTCTGGCTTTAAATAACCTGCAAAGGGTTGAAAACCCATAAAAAATATTTTAAGTTTTATACAAAAATTACTACTCAATTTTATTAAATGGTTATTTAAGGTTTTTGTTTAAATAGAAAACAAAGACATTTCAATATAACTAGTCCTAGGTATGACGATAAACTACAACCGGCAGCAAGGAGATTGGAGATTTTGGGGAGCGTGGAACGACCTGTTAATTGTTGTTGTTCTCACGTTCACCCTGACCCGGGGTGGCAGCACCTGTTAGGGTCTCTGCTATAGTCAAATAGTGAACCCCCCACCACTACCAACAAAACACTATGAAACTATAAAAATACATTTTTATAGTAAAAATACCAGCAATACATTTTATATAAAAAATACCAACAATAACTATTTGTAGTGTAGAGAAATTATTAGTAATACCTACATATAGTAAATTTACCAACAATACTTATCTGTAGTTGAAGGCATACAATTGCGTTAAAAAATATTTAGATTTCAGCATTAAATAACCTATAGAGGCTGATATGCCGCTAAACAAAATCAAACAACAAAATATAATTTCAACAAAAAAACAACATAAATCACACATATCCCCACCTCTAGTAATTATATCCACACAAACATGTATATGAACAAAAGCTGAGTATTATCTACCATGTATTCAATTGTGAAATCAGAATAACAAATGTCATATTTTTATTACTTCAAAGATCCCTCGAAAATTAAATTTCGGCATCAAATGACACATAAGGAGTTGATATGTCGTTAAACAAACAAATCGAATCAAATTCATAATTAAAACTACTTAAAAAAAAAAACATAATTAAAACTACTTTAATTTTTATAATCACGTTATATGAAATAAAAAAAACAACAAAGGAACAATACACTATTTCCATTTTTCTGTAACTTAAGCGACACTGACGGCAGCATTTAAGTTGTTTGAGTTGAGATTTCGTCAAGTGGAGTTGCTTTTTAAAAAAATCTTGTCTAACGTTTCTGCGCATGTGCGTTACCTGTATTTATTTATTTATTTATTTTTTTGTTAATTTTCCATCTGATTTACGCTCGTACGAGTTTCACTCAGTGGCGGCACGGCACGTGTATTTATTTTAATAATTTTAATATAATGTATATTCTTGCTACTAATTAAAGCACACACGAATTTTCCTTGGCTCCCTTTCCGCCCGCCAACCCGCCTCGTCCCTACTACGTCTCCCACAAACATCCAATTCTATCTGTCTTACCCCAGCGAAAGCTCCTAACATTTTTTTTTTACGGTTCTCGGCTTCTCCGTTCTCTCCCCTTAGTCGATACTAACAGATGTTTTTTTTCAGGAAACAAGCTTATATATTGCCGATGCTGCAACAGAAACGATAAGGCTATACACGGTCGATGCACGGACGTGGCCGCTTCTGTCGTACGCTATCGTGCGCGCGCAAAGACTGTGGTCCCCAATAATTTCGGTTCGTGTGTTTAAACACGCGTCCCCACCCTTTTCGCTAACAACAAGAAAAAAAAAATAGGGGTGGGTAAAAACGAAATGAGCTTAATTTTGAAAACAGGAACATCGGTGGCATAGCTAATCAACTTAAGTAACAATAATAACGCGTTATAAGGCCTATGAATTATTTTTTTCTCAAATGAGCGACATAACCTTTTTTTTTTTAATGTAGTTTTTCTTTATCGACATTGTGCGTCATTGATTCTCTTACCGCTACCCTTCAGAAATAAATGATGTGTGAACCCAAAACAGACGCCCTAATCATCACAGTCAACCACCAGAAAATAATAATCTATCCTATTATTCTGCTTGCTTTCTATATACAACTGATATGCTTTCTCTAGCAAGGATCAAAGTGTAGTATCTGTTTCGATTACCTGAGATGGAATCAGTTACATTTCCTGAGAAAAGATCTATTCTAGTATTCTAGGTAGTATAACACCGAGTTCATTAGAATAAGAGATGCGATATATATATATATATATATATATATATATATATATATATATATATATATATATATATATATATATATCTATATATATATATATATATATATATATATATATATCTTTTAAATTACTTGATTTAAGAAATGGTTTATAAGAATACCGGATTATATATCTTACTGTTCTTTCTTTTTTTATATATATATATATATATATATATATATATATATATATATATATAGATAGATAGATAGATAGATAGATAGATATATATATATATATATATATATATATATATATATATATAGAGAGATAGAGAGAGAGAGAGAGAGAGATGTGATATATATATATATATATATATATATATATATATATGTATATTTGTCTATTTAGGCAGCAATCATTCTTTCTTGCACATTTGATTGAATACGACAGACAAGGTGCTTTGATTTAGTTTTTATACAATTTCTCATGCGATGCAATAATTTTTTTTTCTTTTCGGATGATAAATTATATAAAAATTGTCCGAATGTTCTTTTTATCCGAGCGCTTTCGGCTATACATTTAGCCATTTTCGAAGGATGAAGTACTTTAACTGTTAAATAAGAAATAGTTTGTTGCATGTATTTATTTATATAACGTTTTCATTTTTCAAAACACGGTCAAGATATTGTGTCCATGTTCAAAGTTGATATTATTAAGTGTTGTTTTGTTTTTGCTTTTATTAATAAGGCTTGTGACCCTGAGTTTCAATCTTTTGCGATCATCAGAGAAACTGTTTTATTTTGTAAAAAATGGATCTATTTATGCGAATTTGTGTTTGATTACACACACACACACACACACACACACACACACATATATATATTTATATATATATATATATATATATTATATATTTGGACAGCAACCTTTCTTTCAAATATCTTTCAATAAATACGGCCGATAAAGAAGATTTAATCATTTTTTTAAAGATTTCCCAGCATTGTTATATATATTGTCTCTGGTGTTGTTACTTTTCATCATGTTTTGAATGTTAAAATTGCATTTTATTTTTGTGTTTTATGTTAAAAATAAATTACAACATAACAGTCAAAACTTGAGTAAAAATATGCTATAACATGGTTTGAACAATTTGGCTATTACACCCGGTATATATATATATATATATATATATATATATATATATATATATATATTCTCTAGAACAATTACGACTGAGTAGTGAGTTCGATCCTCACTGCGTGCCCCATACTTTCGGCTTTGTGCCACATCTGAGCTACGCTTGGAAAATCACTATATATATATATATATTTTTTTAATATAACAGATTAGAATAAAATCATTTTTCGCCACACAAAGGTTTTTATGTTTCAATTCTATTAATGCATTTCTTTAAGCGATGGTAACTAACTGGTGATTAAAAATACTGAAATGAAATGATTTTTAATCTACAGTTACTTACCATTGCCTGAAGAAGTACAAGCATAGAATTGAAACATGAAAACTTTTGTGTTGAGATTTCAAAATGGTTTTAATATAATCTGTTATAATAAAAACATAATAATAATACATTGCTCTACTTTATATTGAGCAATTTTTTAAAAAGTAAATGCTACGAACTATGGATTTGGGACAGAAACCTTTCTTTCAAACGTTTTCTTCAATAGGGAATAGAACAGACAAGTTAAATTCGATTCATTTTTTATTGCGTTTTTCCAGTATTATTTAATTTTTCCGTTTAGTGGGCGTAAGGCAGTACGAAAATTTCCCGTAGTTTCTATTGTCCCAAGTACTTTCACACAAATCTTTGGCCATTCTCAAAGGGTGTCTTGCTAAGTGTTGTTGATTTCTTTGTACAGTTGTCTTTTTAAAGATGTAGATTGGTGATGACTATATAGTAGCGTGTTTATTCCCGGCCGTGTTAAAGAAACATGGCTGAAATTCGAGTTGATGTCGTTTTATTGTAAAAATAATACTTACAGCAAATCATTTCCGTTGTTAAAAAAGGTGAGATTAATAATGGGTGCCAGATGTTTTATGTCAACTGGCAACCAGTAATAATATCATTAATTTAATACACACACACACACACACACACACACACACACACACACACACATACACATACACACACACACACAAATATATATATATATGTTTATATAATCAGAAAGCCGAGTGAATGTAATGGATTCGACTGGAATTCGAACTCGGCTTTCCGATTATATAATATTATATATATATATATATATATATATATATATATATATATATATATATTTATAAATCTTTTAGTTCCTATCTATCTATCTATCTCAATCACTTCATTATCTATCTATATATCTATCTTTTTGTGGGCTAAATACTTTACAGAATAATCTCTAAAACATTCATCTGTCTCTTTCAATCTAATAATTATCCGATACGCTGACATATATACGCAAACCTGATAAATTTCTGTTATACTAGCGTATTTTCCACGGTGCAAATGCTCGGTGTTCGAACCCAAGTAAATGCCCAATTTTTTATCCTAATTTCCAAGCCAAGCTGCTTAACAAACTTTTCCTTTTTATTAAAATTTTGCATTTGCCGACCGCTTTTGAAGTCCATATCTAGATGTACACACACGTTATCAATAATATTTTGAAAAAGTCCGCCTTGTAAATTTTGTGATAAAAACTTGTCAAAAAAGGAAAAAAAAAAAGATTTCCATTAGTATAAATGAAACGCCTTTATTTTTTTTGTGGAGGTTGGGTTTAATAAAAAAAACGTATTTGCGAAATTTTCTTTACTGACGCCCTTCAATCAAAATGCAGAAAGTTTAAACTAAAATGACAAAGTTCATTTTAAAAACTTGGTAACGATGTCTCTGAGGATTTGCTCTCCATCTGGTGACTGAAGAACTGTTGTCACACTGGAAATGCTGCGCGCAAAAATACAAACACGCGCATGTGCGCACGCATGCGCGACGAAATCTTCCACACAAGACGTCGCTACGCAAAGAGTCAAAGGCATGCGCGATTACCATGAAACAAAAACACGACTCACATTAAATAGACAGAGAAATAAGACTGCAGTTTCATTATTATTATTATTATTATTATTAATAATAATAATAATAATAATAATGTTTACTTTGGATAGATTTGTCATTCTAACTGTAGTCTTGTTTATTACAATTTCGTTGTTCAATTTTGTTCGTTTTTTATCTGCCATATTTCATGGTATATGCAACACCCCAGTTAATTTTAATAATACATTATTATAGAGTTAGACATTCAGATAAACATTAACCTTTTAGATTCGCCAAATTTACCTATAACTCTCATCTGTTTCCATTTAATATTACAGAATTTTGTGGCTGGTATTGAAAGTTTACGGTATTTTGGCAGACATTAGTTTACCAGATAACACAACTCCCCATACACTGGAAATGTTTTTAGCTTTTTAGTCAGAACTTTAGCCCATATCCTCATAGCAACAGATTCAACTGACCCCCTTCTATTTTCCATATGCCTAAGCCACTAATTCTCGACTGCCGAGCCGCGAGCCACTAGTGTGCCGCGTGATCCTCTTAAGTGAGCCGCGAAATATTGAAGAAATCACTAAAAAACGCCAATTTACACACTAAATAAGCTGCACAAATAGTTGAATAGAAACATTGAAATAAAATAAATTCAATATTGTGTGTATTATTATTTTTTAAAACAATCTATGGTTTTATTTAATAATATTAAAATGTATGTCCCTTTAAAAATTTTCCTAAGTGTGCCGTAATATTTTCATTTGCCCCTAGGGGTGCCGTTGTTTAAAAAGGTTGAGAAACACTGAAGTAGACAATTTTATTGTTTGTGTGTGTTTGTGTGGCAGTAGTAATGGTAGAGCATTAAGATTTGAATAAATGAATAAGTATTACACTATTTATACCACATTAGCTAAAAAGGCTTTATCAGTTTTATTACAATTTTCTACTTCTTATTTATGTGAATTAGGCTTCCCAACCCTAAATAATATCAAAAATAAGAATCGAGAAAGCCTACGCTCAACTGAAGAAGAAATGAGGATCTCCTTATTGCACATTTGACCAAATATTGAAGAAATTACGAAAAAACACCAGATTTCACGCTCAATAAGCTGCGCAAATAGTTGAATAGAAACATTGAATAATAAGTTCAATAATGTGTGTATTATTTTTAAAACGATCAATGGTTTTATTTAATAATATTAAAATATATACCCTTTAAAAATTTAGCTAAGTGTGCTGTGATATTTTCATTTGCTCCGAGGTGTGTCGTTGCTTAAAAATGTTGAGAAACATTGCTCTAGATACATATATAAAAATCTACATATTTAGTTAAAAAAATCATCCTTGATAATGGTTATTAGAATTATAGAAAGCGCTGGAATATGCAGAACATTAGGACAGTTTGTCATAGCATCCATATATATCTGTGTGTGTGAAACTCGTAATTGTACAGCGTTAGTATTTGAATAAATGAATAAGTATTAAACATTTTATCTCACATTAACTAAAAAGGCTTTATCAGTTTTATTGCAATTTTCTACGTCTTATTTATTTGAATTAGGCTTCTCAACCCTAAATAAGATCAAAAGTAAGAAACGAGAAAGACTACACTCAAATTAAAGAAAAAATGAGGGTCTGCTTATTGCACATTTGACCAAACATTGAAGAAATCACGACAAAACACCAGGCTTAGGTTTCACCTGAAATAAACGGCACAAATAGTTGAATAGAAACATTGAAATAAAGTATTTGTGTATACTTTTTAAAAATTGAGGATTTTACTTCATAAAATTTAAAAATGTTGTTAAGTGTCGCGTGATATTTTCATTTGCTCCTAAGTGTGCCGTTGTTTAAAAAGATTGAGAAACACCGTGCTAAAGCATCATTATAAATGATAATTTTGAAAACTACAGATTTCATAGAAATATATTAGAAACTTTCAAAGCTTCAATCTGAAATCAAGAAAATGACTTTATGGAAAAGGAATCACAATATACAGAAAAGAGAAAAACTTTAAACTGAATCGCAGAAAATATGGATTAATCTGAAACTTTTTTTTTTCCATATATTTAAACTAAAATCATTGACTAATAATTTTGGAATATGAAAAATTTTCTGTTTTTTCTTGCTTTCTCGCAAGTTTTTTTTTTTATATTTGGGTCTAAGTTCTTGAAAAAAGACTCTTAGTCCATGGTGTTTTGCTGAGCGCAAAAATTATATGTTTTGATTTGAAGTAGGTTGTTTATTATTTTATTTTATAGCTAATATTTTGTATATTTAGGTAGTGTTGTTGGATTATTTGGGAGCGGGGTGGTATTTAATATTGGGAGGATTAGTTATTAAATATATTTAAGATGTTTTTGCCAGTATTAAGTGCTATTTTATTCATGTTGGGTTTTTGGTTTTTAATTAGGACGGATTCAAGAATTTGTAAGCGTTTTTTACATTTGTTTTTGTAGAGGATTTTGGTATTGCTGATGAGGATTTTTCTTATTTCGGAGGATCTGAATCTGGTACTAGTGGTACAGTGTGTTGTTTTACGGTGATTTTTTTTATGGCGCTGGCGTCATTAATATATATATATATATATATATATATATATATATATATATATATATATATATATATATGTGTGTGTGTGAGAGAGAGAGAGAGAGCTTCATTAAATATGACAGACAAGGATGAAATATATTTACTGTTAACTGGAAATGGATTGGTGTATGTATGTATCTAGCATTATAGAATGATTTATTTTCAAAACACAGTCAACATATTGTGTCCATGTTAATAGTTGGTTTTATACAGTGTTGTTTTTTTCGTTTTTATTAATAAGGCTTCCATTATTTTGAGCTTTTTTTTTTTACATGTAGACGCTGCTATTAACAGTAAATATAATTCATCCTTGATAATGACTAAAGGTATAGCCGAATAGGCTTGGTAAAATAATATATTTAGACAGTTTTTGTATAAGTTATCTACGGAAAATTATTCAAATTTTCCTTGTGTTCGGAAAAGTAATTTTGGGGGAAATGAATAAAAACTGTCTGAATGTTTAATATATCTGACATCTATATATTCTTATTAGCCATTATCAAAGATATTTTTTTAATTTTTTAACTGAATATGTGTATTTATATATATGTGTATTTACAGTTATGTGAATATCTGTCTACAGTGGGCTATGATAAGTTTTTAGCTACTCTTGATTACAGCAATTTTGGTTTCTGAAATGACGTTTCTTTTTTCCGACCAGAAAAGAAAACAATTATAAGATTAGACGAGAACTTATATAAAATAAACTTAATCAAAGCACCTTGTCTGTCTTATTTAATGAAGCTTGCATGAAAGAAGAATTGATGCGTAAATACACAATATATATATATATATATATATATATATATATTAGGTTGGTGCAAAAATAATGACGTAATAATGTCGTTTTTTGATTATTTTTGCACCAACCTAATATATATATATGTGTATATATATATATATATATATATATATATATATATATATATATATATATATATATATAATTAAAAAATTATTTGTATATATTTTAAATTTTTTACATCATAGGTGTTTTTAGTAGAACCCCGGTGGATATGTGGTATTGTGCTAGATGTTGGACTGAATAAAGAAGGATGTGTTCTTGTTGTGATTGAGGAAACTGTTAGAATGAAAGAGTCGCGAGTTGAGTTGGTTAGGTGTGGGATAGTCAGTGTTGATCAGCTTTTCCCCCACTTCACCTTCGACATTGTGCCACATTAACATGTATAAATCTTAAAAATAAACCCAATACATGGAACAAGAAGGTGTCAGATTAAACTGATGCCAGGAGAATATATGTGTAGCCAAACTTTGGTGGGGTTTATACTTAAGATTATAGATAAATATTCATACCTGAGACTATAGTTTCTACTTGAGGCTATATGTGAACATTGGTCAGATTCACTATCGGTAAACATTTGCTCGTATTTCTACTTGATCCGGTTTATACTTGAGTCTTTAGGTAAACTTTGGTTGGTTTTATACATGAGACTATAAGAAATCATTGTTTTGATTTATACTTAAGACAATTGGTAAACATTGATTTTATTTATAGCATCCATGCAGAAGGTGACCCTTATTTCCGATTGGGAACCGTCGACAGGGCAAAATGTATTCAGTGTAGGGCTAAAATTGTAATGTTAAAATCAACAAAAGCGACAGATATAGTGCTGCTGGTTTCAAAGAGACTTGCTGTCACATGATCCTCAATGGGATCTTCCCCCACCCCCAGACACACACCTAAGAATCGACTGGTGTAAAAAGTAAAATATTGGTCGAAAGGCACGTGACGAAGCCATA